GACAGAACTTCACATTTAGGTGCTGAAGTAGTTACCCTGCTTTAGAAGTGAATTTTTCAGCCTTTTCTAATGCCCATGCTGTCACAACGATATTTTCTGAGCTAGCTAATATACAGGTAATGAACACAGAATCTGTAGTCACAATGTCTGCAGTATGGACTTCTGCTTGTCTGTGGCTACAGAAATGTCAGGCCTTCCAGTAACGCTGAGCAGAATAACATATATCCCTGAATCTGCTTGTTGGCTTATAAAACAAATCAAGTCTCTGAGGTTAAGGACAGACAGAAAGGCAGGAAACTGAACATTTAGGAAGAACTAGCTTTTCACTTCATCTCTAGGTTCCCTCAAGCAGTGGAGCAATGACCAAGTAATGAGGACACAGGACTGAGAAGTAAGACACCTTAGATGTATTTGCAGTTACACCACAGTGGGTATATGTGACATTAGAGCAGCTTATGACACTTCAGCTGAGGCTACAGGGCCAGTGACTTAGAGACATGTGTAGCACTGAAAGTTTCCCATCCCTTGCTTCGACTGCTCTCCTTAGGGAAAAGAAACACTTTTTCTCCTCCATCTCAAACACTCTGTGAAGTTCTGCCTCCCTTTAGATCTCTCCCCAATATAGGGGTCACTTCTGTGTTAAATTTTTTTTAAGGTCATAAAATCCACTAATTTTCATAAGCGTAACTGGTGTTGCTGCAAACCTCTAAGCCATCTGCGACACTTTCATGCTTCTGTTAAGAGGATTTTTCCCCCTAGTTATTCAGCGTAAAATGCTGCTGTCATTATTGTCAATAGCAAAACTTCTGTTGACTTGACAAGAGCAAGGATTTCTCCCTCAGTAAAATCTAAATAGCTCTACTGTGAAGCTTATCATCTATATGGTTAACCATTATTTTGTGCAAAAAAACAATTCTGATGTACTGTTCTGCAGTTTCACAATTTGGTAAATTTTATCTGCTGCAAGAACACAACTTTAACTACAGGAAAAATATAGAAAGGAACAAACCCCTTTTATTTCTACAGGCTAAGATTGCCTTACAGCAAATTAAATTTCAGCATAGTTGAGACGTTATTTTCAATGCCATAGGACCCAAAAGTAAACCATTATATATATGCAAGTGTTAAATTAATTTGCTTCATTGACTGAGATAAGTGATTACAAAATAAAAACACTAAAAAAAAACAGGAAAATACTTAAAATTGACTGAGTGGATGCTTTGGGCATTATTTTTCTTGCCTATTTTCTAGGTTTGTTCAAGGTCTTCAAAACATGTTTTCTTGGTGGTACTTTTTCTTCTCATGGTTGTTTTTCCTCTCCAACGCCTACTGAAAGTGTTGAAAAGCTGCAATTTATGATTACTCTTCTGTGACTTGGGCCACAAATCATCTCTGGAGAAGCTTGACCCTACCTTCAATGTGTGGGCCCCGCACAGCTTGTAAAATCAACTGCTTGGCAAAGCAAGTTATTTACTGGGATGGGTGAAAGCAGAGCTGAATCTTCAGTGTCTCTTCACTCACTAATTAGCCTCTACGTGGACTGTACTTCCACAAGAGGCACACTCAGCTCTGTGTAATCAACACTATGCAAGTAGCAGGGTTGTCAGGATCAGCCCATGCTGGAGAGAGCCGATACCAAAATACGTTGGTCTCGTTTAGAACATAAGAAGTCCTGTAGATATGCTGATGTATGGGTGGCCGACCACAAGGTGGTTAAAGGTCACTGTCCTTTGCATTTGACTTGAAGTTAGGACCTTACCTGCAACATGACCATGACAACAAACAACAAAGGTGGACTGAGCTTTAAGAGCTTGGTAGATAATTGTAATTTAGCATTTTTACTATTGCTAAAAAAGATGGCAGATTTTTAGACGGACTCTAATCCTTAACAGTACTCAACATTATGTCTAGCCACCCTCATTTCTTGCTCTGAGAGCAGATGTGCACGTGCATGTGTGAAACGTAGTCATCTTTCTTGCTGAAAGTGCCACAAGGAAATGGGAGTTTGAAAGTGGAGGGAAACTTCAGTGTACAGATGTCTATCTTTAATATGTGACTTAAGGAGAGTCATTTGGATAAATCCCTGTGGAAAGTACATCAAAGTTCTCAGCAGGCAAGAGAGATTGAGAGCTGGTCCTGTGCCAGACGCAGCTGCGTGGCTGATATGTATATCATTCTTCTAGCTATAACTCCTTCCTCACCTGTCGTCTTTGTTGCTACGAGGAGGAGAGAAAGGTTCATAGGTTTTTCAGGAACATCCAATTCTGAGATCAAGGAGCTTTATCTTGCTAGATAATGAGCGCTGTCAGCTCCAACAGCCTTTCCTGAGAGTTGAGATTTGAACTCAACCTTCTGCAAGAAGGTTTATACCTTATACTTTAGCTTTATGATCTGGGAAGTGAACTTTCCCTCCTCAGTCTCTTGAAGGACCACCCTGCAGCATTAATATATCATTTACAGCTGACTGGAACTTTCCCAACTGGAATTAGATATTTACTCTTCTGATACTTACTCTTCTGTTTTAAAGGTTGTTTTTTATATCCTTGTTAGCACTTAGTGTAACAATACTGTGATTTTCTCCTGGTCTGTAGTTTCCTGAACATTGAGTCCCAGTGGACTCACTTATCTTAAAGAAAAAAAATATAGGGTCATGCTGTCTTTGGCCAATTTAAGCTGCAATAATCATAATTCAGGATTAATACTAAAATCAGAAGGAAGGAAGTTGTTCTTTGGGTCTAGCAAGATAGTTCTTCTAGTTAGTTATTATTTTGGTTGATTGAACGGTAAGTGGTAAAAATATGACCACAGGTGCCTGTATTTTTTTTACCATGAAAAACATATCACCTTATTCTGTTTTAAGCATGAGTGAAGCACTGGAGCGCTTTGCTCACAGTACAAAGTCATAAGAACTCTGTAGGGACAGCAAAATCCAGAGGCTTTAATATCATTAAGAAGCGTATCTTTGTTATTGCTGTTTCCTTCAAAGTTAGTATTATTTTTCATAGACATAGCACATGGCTAGGGGACAGAGAAGGGTAAATACAGCCACAATAGGGCCATCCCAACGTTTCAGGTACTAAAGCAAACCAGGATTCTCATCTTTTTGGATTCAGTCTTTGCTGATTAAATTCTGGTGTGGAGAATTGAAATGTTTAGAATAAACAAACATCATGCGTGTTTGTAATGGAAGTTTCTTAAAAGCGAGTCATACAATACTGATGAGTAAATAAGATTCTGCATTGGTTAAATGGAATTGAAAAAGTTAAAAAAAACTCCAACTTATACACTTACATTGCCACTTTAATTCTCCATTTGTACATGTAAAGTGATAGAAATTGAACTATCATTGTAAAAGGGATGACCATATTAACTGTCTTTTCTACTCACTCTTGCAGAATGTAGACAAGTGGTCCTTCGATGTATTTGCACTAAATGATGCCAGTGGGGATCATGCACTGAAATTTATTTTCTATGAACTTCTCACACGCTATGATCTGATCAACCGTTTCAAGGTCAGTAGTTAGAAGATGGGTCTCTTCTTCCATCTTGGGTTTTGTTGAACTTCCCTCTCATCCTGCTTTGTTCCATTCAAAATGCAATTTTAGTGCTATTTGAAGTGCTGCACTTTCCCTAGTAAGCAAGACCGAATGTTATTTAAGTAGTACTTTAAATTGTGATGGGACACCATGAAATAGGTGGGTTTCCAAACAGGCTTCCCCATGAAATCCATGGGAAATATTAAATTTGATCCTGTGGGAATGATGGTGTCATTCTCCTGAGATTCATAGGACTCTCAAGCATGCAGGTAAAAAAGGAGAGCTTGAATTCAAATTCATCAAAAGAAGCATGGCCAGCACCTCCCAGTTGAGGGAGGTGATTCTCCCCTTCTACTCCACTCTGGTGAGACCCCACCTGGAGTACTGCATCGAGCTCTGGAGCCCGCAACACAGGAAATACATGGACCTGTGGGAGCTGGTCCAGAGGAGGGCCACGAAAATTATTGAAGGGCTGGAGCACCTCTCCTATGAAGAAAGGCTGAGAGCATTGGGGTTGTTCAGCCTGGAGAAGAGAAGGCTCCAGGGAGACCTTATTGTGGCCTTTCAGTACTTAAAGGGGCCTTGTAAGAAAGATGGGGACAAATTTTTTAGTAGGGCCTGTTGCGATAGGACAAGAGGTAATAGTTTGTCCTGGTTTTGGCTGGGATGGAGTTAATTTTCTTCCTAGTAGCTGGCATAGTGCTGTGTTTTGGATTTAGTAGGAGAAGAATGCTGATAACGTTGATGTTTTAGTTGTTGCTAAGTACTGCTTATGCTAGGTCAAGGACTTTTTCAGCTTCTCATGCTCTGCCAGGTGCACAAAAAGACTGGGAGGGGGCACAGGCAGGACAGCTGATCCAAACTGACCAAAGGGCTATTCCATAGTATATGACGTCATGCTCAGTATATAAACTGGGGGGAGTTGGCCGGGGAGCAGTGATCGCTGCTCGGGAACTGGCTGGGTATCCGTTGGTGCGTGGTAAGCAGTTGCATTGTGCATCGCTTGCTTTGTATATTCCTTTATCATTATTATTAGTAGTATTTTATCTTCCTCTGCTGTCCTATTAAACTGCCTTTATCTCAACCCATAGGTTTTACTTTTGTCTTTTCCTGATTCTCTCCCCCATCCCACCAGGGCAGGAGAGAGTGAGTGAGCAGCTGTGTGGTGCTTAGTTGCCAACTGGAGTTAAACCACGACATGGTTTTAAACTAAAAGACTGTAGATTTAGACTAGATGTAAGGAAGAAATTTTTCACGATGAGGGTGCTGAAACACTGGAACAGGTTGCCCAGAGAGCTGGTAGATGCCCCATCCCTGGAAATATTCAAGGTCAGGTTGGATGGGGCTCTGAGCAACCTGATCTAGTTGAAGCTGTCCCTGCTCATTGCAGGGGGGTTGGGCTTGATGACCTCTAAAGGTGCCTTCCAACCCAGACTATTCTGTGATTCTATGATTGTTACAGAGGTTTGCAGATGCAAATGCTACGTATCTTTCCTCCAGCTTTGAACAGACTTAAATTTGGATGGCAGAAACGTTGCTGTCAGATCCTGACCATTCTTCCCACCCAAATACTCCTCTGTCCCTTCCTCCATTGACACTTCCACTCCCTGGGGGTCCCCACTCACTTTGGCTGGAAAGCGTTTACAGATCTCTGGCTCCTGTACTTCAGGACCTGCTCATGCCCAATGAGAAAAGTTTGAAGAAGGTAACTGGTCAGAACTACATCCTCCCCTGATGTGTACCCAAGAGGAGAACAACAGTGCTCCTCTAACTGTGGAAATACAAGTGTTTAGGGTATTTGCTGTTTGAGCAGATGAAACTGGAGAACCCGTGTTGCCAGTTGCATATGTTGCAGCTGACACCACCTGCGTAATTTCCTCTCTATAAAATCCCCTGAGCTGCATTTTCTCAAGTGTGCACAGTTCTACTCTTGGAGTCAGAAAAGCATGGCAAGCCCATAGGATGGTCAGGCTGGATTTCGTCATGAAAAGCCAGACATCTGATAAATGATACTCCTCTTAGAGTATCTCAGACTTACTATATGATGTGTTTAATTAGAAAATCTTGAATGTGAATAGTAAAGCAGAGATACATTCCAGTGGGTTGTGAGGGGTACAGAGAGAGGCTTGTGGCCTAATTAGAAGTATATCTCCAGGGGCAATCAGTGAAGTGCTCTCTCTTACTTTTCATACTGCATGTGTCTTCCAGATGGCATTCTGTAGTATGCTTACTTGTGTGTGTTTATCTGTGGGAATGATTTATCCATAATGTAATCAGGGATGGGAAAGGCAGTTTGAGGAAGTAACCTGGATTCACTCTCTCTTGAGTGCCTGTTTCAGATATTTTAGCATGTTATTTATTTGTGAAGTACAAACTGCTCTTCAGGACCTCTTATCAAAATGCTCCCCTCCAAACGCTAGCCAGTAAAGGTGATTATTTTTTTTGTAATTCTGTGCTGTTTTCCTCAGATCCCCATTTCTGCCCTGGTGTCCTTTGTGGAAGCTCTGGAGGTTGGCTACAGTAAACACAAAAATCCTTATCACAACCTAATGCACGCCGCAGATGTGACACAGACGGTCCATTACCTCCTTTTCAAGACAGGCGTAGCGGTAAGTACAGGAGCTGGCATCCTGAATACATAATGAGATTACAACAATTTTGGCTTATTAAGCAGATTATGATTATCCACAGTAGAACCCATTTGCACTGTAGACAAACTTCATTTGATATGGCTGTAGTAATGAAAGTACAGATTAGGGATTATTTAGAAATAGAAGGTAGGTGAAGATATGGATAACTCTTTTAACAGTGATCTAGAAGAGGATGAATGAGAAACCCAAGCTCAGTTTTTCACTCTGCCACAGATCCCCTGGGTGATTCTGCTAACTCACTTTTCTGGGAATTCATTTCACCTAATGTGAAGAAGCAAATTGTCTAAGCTTTCTTCTTCCTTAAGGGAGCAAGGCAGTACGTCCAAAGGACAATTCATTCCACTTATCTGAGAATCACAAGAGCCATGCTCTGGAGATGCTGATCTCCATCCAGTCTCTCCAGCAAACTGGATGAACTGGCTTACATAGAAAGCTACAGACAGCTAAAGTCTGAGAGTAGTGACAGGAATGGATAGAAGGCTTGAACAAAAATACTTGGCATACTATATGTTCCCACAGTGGTTGTCAGAACAAACAACAGAAATATCTTTGAAAATGGGCTGGAGAAATTGAAGGCAGACAGATTCCAGGGTGGTGATCAGCCATTGCAGTCTGGGTTCAGCTGGGGCTTCAGAACATTGCTGGCCCCCTCAATGAGGAGAATAAATGGAAGGGAATATCTCATTCTCTTCCTCTTCTTACTCCTGGTTACTGCCACAGACAGAAAATGGAATGAAATTACTTTTAGTCCAATCCTGTGTGGCACCACTGTTCCACCTATTGTTCACTTCACCTTTTCCCAGCATCTAATTTGCCCTTGGCCCTTGCATCAGCAGAAGCATAGAGGCAAAGGTATCAGTGAAAGGGAGGTTCATCTGTTCAAGATGTTGCAGTATTCTCTCTTGTTACACCATGGCCATTCACTGGTTGCTCTCTTTGTCACTGGTACTTGAATACATGCAATGCTATTATATTGTGCTTCATTTCACTGAGTCCCTTCACTGACAGCCGTGCAGAAGCAGCCAAGGTAAGGACTTCCAGGTGCAGGGGGTCTTTGCAGTGCAGAGCACACACATGAACCCAGATCAGCAGAGGCTGAGGCTCTTAGTGCAGCTCCTGCCTTCTTGAACGCTCCCAGATCGTTCCAAGCTCCGTAACTGGGAGCTGTTAGAGAAAAG